AAGGTGATTCGATGATCAAATAAGACTGCTAACTAATTTGAACAGTTTTCAACTGATATTAGTTTGCAAGTCTTCGTTGTAGTTGCAATATTCCAATTTCTAGCTAAACTCTGGAAAAGACAGTTCCTACGGTTCAAGATGCTGCAGGAAATAGAGGTTAGTTTAGAACAATCTTCGTAACGAACTGAAAGGACAGTCGCTTCACAATAGCCGTTTCTATAGAAGTTTCTTCGAGTAAATGAAATATATTTTCATTAAAACATTGATAAATTAAATTTTATTAAAAAATACAAAATGTTCAAAACAATTTCGTTTCCTCTGTACTCGCGAAATTAATTTGCGAGTCGTTTGAGGTTATCTTAACCTATCTTTAACCTATTCACAACAAACGGATGTATTCGTGTACTAATGCCATGATTATTTCATTAATTTTTCAGTGTAACTGAAAAGAAAATTCTGATTTTTGGGAAAAGTATAGTAAAACTTTAATTCAATAAAAAAAAAAACGAAACATTCTGCTTTAATCCGTCATGGGGACCACATAGGGAGTCACTATAATTCTGCGATGCGATCGCGATCGATCAGTCAGAGTTAGAAACGAGTTGAATAAGAAAAGGCTAACGCGGCTTGTTTAACCTTTATCGTAACGGGGCCATCACGGTTTAAAAATAATGGAAACTGCTAATATTGGCCGTTCACCCCATGCTTAAGTATTCCATTAAATTAATCGCCCCGCGACGTTGAAACGTTGCACTATCCACGGAATTATTTCTCCGATGTGCATGACGCACGGTATACCTGCCGTGGCCATTGTGAAAACAAATACGAATCGCGTGGTTGGACGTTCAGCACGCATCGACAAAACAGTTGGAACTGAACGCTGACGGTTGATGCTCGTCTTGCACGAAATTTATGGTATAATTGGCGAAAGTTCCTGCTTACTAGAAAGATGGCAGCGTAGTTGATGCGACTATACTTGCGTCGTGTGCTTAGGCGGAATATGTTATGCATATAGTGCGTTGTGCAGAAGGCTTGTCACGCAAAGCGTTTAATTTTGTTGTAGATAAAACAATTGTTAAGATATTGCAATTAATTTTGTGATGACTAATTTTATTCTTTTTGTGGTGTTTTTAACCTTATGTCAAGAGGAAGAATGTATTTCTGATGGTTAGGTTATGAATATTAACAATTTTAAAGTTATTTTAGTTTTTTCATTTTTTAAAGTGTTAGACATACTTTACTGACAATTTTTTAATCTGCTTTAATTAATTGAAGTTGATCTTGATTATTTTTGTTGTTATTTCATTCATTGGAATTGGAATTATTTGGTAACTTAAAATTGGTAACTTTCAATGTAGAGGGTGTTTCATTTATCTCCATTATTTCGTCACTATACTTAATTTTTTTTCATTGAACGGTGTTCGAAGTTAGTAGTTCATTGTCGAAGGTACAATTAGTATGAACGTTCGCCCTAAAACACTTACGAATATGAATATAAATCGACTATCCAAGCGTCGTCGAGTTCGAATTGAGTTGCGCTTAGAAATATCGACGTTTTGATTGCTGGTCTTGTACTGTACTCACTTATGACGTAATGGAGATTAAAATTTAAATTATCTTTATTATCATTAAAAAATTTTTTTTATGAAATTTAAATAGGTTTGGTAATCTCAAGTGATTAAGCTTGCAGTTTTTTAAAGTAGACAAAGCAAGCTGTTCCTCGTCACAAGCAGATTAACCGTTCTAAGATTGTACGTGAAGCGATAATTTATTCCAATAAAAGACGAAGGAAGAATTAAGACAGAATTATCATAATAATGTTAAAGAGAAATTTGTTCTCTCTTATACTGTAATAAAAGAAAATGACGATAACGAAAGAAAATATGTATTATAATAAATTATGTGAAAAAATAAATAGAACAAATACTGAACTATAAATGAATAAATTGGAAAGAGTAAAAAATGTCAAGTTGAAGAAAACAAAGAACACGGTGAAAGGGACATTAGATTTCCACTGAAAAAAATACACAAGTAGGAGTATCAGGAACATTTCCAAGGTACTTGAGTCTCTTCAAATGGGACCTCTACTTTTACTAATGCTCGCGAAATGTGAGTAATAAGACCGGCTATGTATCTTTATTCTTGGCGATTAGCGGTGCTTCGCGGAATTTATCTATATTTATTTAAATTCGAATATGGTATTTTTTAAAGAAACTTTTTTACAACTTAAAATTATTCTACTTTTTAAAGGAGAATGAACGATACATACACACATTTTGAAAACTTATTCAACAAACTTTTGTTGTTAATAAATTCACTTATGCAGAGGAACAAATTATCCTGCATATTTATAATTTTAGAAACACAAAGAATCTTCTTATTTTTTACGTCATATTAAAGTATTATTTTTTAGGTTACGTTATGGTTTACAAATCCTGTACTACTTTTTAGAAGGGAAACGTGTAAAATTATCTGAGAAATTAAACAACATACATGAATTTATTCAAAAATCTATATGACTGTTTTTAAAAACTAACCTAAGCTTTCATAATCACGGAATATTATTAATCTCTCAGTAATAGTTTCAACAATATGACAGCTTGTTTCGAAAATAGAGAAAGAAAAGAAAATTCACTTCCAAATTAAATTAATTCATACATCAACTCGTTTAAAACTTGTTATCAGTACAATACTCTTTCAAGTTACACAAAAGATACAAAATTGTCCGTTTTATTTCACAAATTTAAACTACCTAACCTCTCTGTCTCTCACTCTCTCTCTCTCTGTCAAAACATGTGACGACACTTAAAAGAGTTTAGAAATTCACTATTTAATCTCGAAAGAATCCCAGCGACAATTTGATCCATTTACTGTCAATCAGTCGAGCCGGTTAAGGTCGCAATGGCAATTATCACGCGTTAGGATCAATCAGGATAATCCCACGCGAAATTGATCCAACCACGTGAAAACGCGCGCTCTGATTTCTGTTCTACGCAGATAACATGCTCCTGGCTACTGCAGTGCGTGCACGTTGGCTGCTGGAATAGCCGGAATTCTCCTCGATCCTTGTGGCCACAAGAGACACGTACAATCCGCCCTTTTTAATACCACTGCGACGACAATCAAGGACCATGAAGAGATCTTCGAGCCTCCACTCGAAGATCCTCGCTTGGGCTTTCCGTCTGTACGTCGTTCTCATTCTACTTCTCCTTCCGTCGAGAACAGGTAAGTTGATATTAAAGGGCCCTGTGATTAGCTGAAATGCGTTAGAATTGTATTCGATTCATGACGAAGTGCAATTTATTTAAAATTAACATAACTTTTAGTTTTTTAGTTTTAATTTTTATAATAAATCTGATACATTTTTGGTTTATGTAGTTTTAATTTTTATAATAAAACTGATATTAGTGGGATATTGAATTTACAAATGATTTAATTTTGACATGATGAAAATTACCCTTAATAAAGCTACTTGTGTTTTATTTATTTTTCATTTTTATAAAAATTAATCCAATATTGTAATGTTTCTATTTGCAAATATTGACACACTGAAAAAGAGTGTTTAAAAAGGTTTGAATTTTTAACAGTTTGCAACAGTTTATATCAAAATAGTTATTTCTTGTTTGATTGGCTAATGTGCATAAATTTACTAGGTTCGGATTTTTTATTGAAAAATGGGAAAATAAAAAAGTGAAATTAATTTTTGAATAAATTGCATGGCATGTGTGCACATTATGAGTAAAAAATTGAGAAACATATCTTTCTTAAATTGATCACCTATACATATATGTTATTAATAATATACAACAACTATAAATGTTGCTACAGTTGAGTCTATTATACAGGGTATACAATAATGTGTACACAATAAACAGTGATTCTAACCTCAACAACAAGGAGAAGTTCTGGAATACTCAGTTAATTATAACACATAATAGAATTTAATTAACAAACTTTCCAAAATATATTACTAAATAACGATATTTTCAATATTTTCAACCTATATGTGTATAGAATAATTTATTAAATCCAATTTTCAAATTCATCTTTCCCTTTTGAGAATAAAATGTTTCTCATGTATTGCAGTGCTTTCAAACTTTTTGCTTGTAATGTACCACACACGAACACTAAATTCAATTCGAGTTAATTGAAATAATTAATTGTCTCGCCGACTGATCGATTTAGTTAACTGATTTTGCGCTCAATAACAGACGACATCGATATTGCATTGGGAATGGGAGTGCCATGGTGGTACTTTATGTGTATTGTGGTTATTTGTTAATCATGAATTGAAACGATTCGAGCCCGTTCCAATGTAAATCATCGATGACCGTAGATAAGAATTAATAATTTTCGCGTCAGTTGTTCACTCGCGATCACCAGTCAGAACGAGCTTGAATGGTGGAAGCCATTTATACGTTTTATGCGCGTTAATTATTCTGACGTCTTTGGCTTTGATCGAAAATAGACCTCAGACCTTCATCTGAATTCTTCCCACGGTCCTCGAACAAGATCGAAACTACTTTCGACGAATGGCTTATGAATATTTATAATTTTTAGGTTATGTTAGATAAAGTCAATTGAGAATTTTGTAATTTTTTTACCAAAATTCTGCTTTGTTTCGTTTAGATTCGTTAAAACATTTAACAAGTATAAAAAAGAAACATTTCTATTCAAAGAAACAAATTAAAATTCAATAAAAATTTCAAATTGAAAAGGTGTAAAAACTAACAAATACAAATTAATTCTAGAACCAAGACGAAAGAATTACAGAAAACTGACAGGACGTTAACAATACATTAAAACATTATTTACAAATTTTTTCTTCATCTGCCATAAAATTCCTGTCATAAAACCTTCATTTCTAAAGGACCATATCAATTTCCATTCAAATCAACAAACACACTCAACACTCTTCACCAATTCCCAAAACGAACCTTCACCAATTACGTTTAAACCTTTTACCCTTAATGTTCATCAAAGAACGCCATATCCGATGACACCTTTATCACATCGATATTTTAAGTCAAAGAGTACATATCGCCGCGGCAGCTGCAATGCGGATGCACCGAACAAAAGTTGCCGCGCGCGCGATGGCTTCCGCAATTACTCGCGTGTGATCGTCAAGAGTGGCGTATTCAACAGGGACTCGTTTACAGCCGCCTTAGAGGAGAATTGCACGGACTTCCAGGGTGCCATCGTTCGACACGGACTGCTCTATGTGCCAGGGCCTGCGGTTTGCAGCCTCTGTGTCTGCTATCATTCCGAGCCAATGTGGTGTAAAGCTATCTTCTGCTCGCCGCCCTACGTAAGTGTATATCCCATTCAGTATGCCTACACTTTAACTGTAGAAGACAAATTGAATTGTCATATTAAAATGCTTCTTCCCTTTTCAATTAATTATTTATTTATGAACTGGTAAATTGATTTGCCTTTAATTGTATCGTTACGAATTGTCGAGGTTATTTTGACACACGTAGTACTGTGCAAGAGCTGGTAAGTTGTCTGTCGAGACGGCACAGGGGCAAGGGGAGTAAGCTCGCTCTACCTTCTATGCTCACCATTACGCGATAGATTAGTAGATGCGACCGTTTCGGCCAATAATAAAAATGCGTGTGATCTAACTGTATGAGTGTGTCTGCTACAACCAATCAGACCTGCATTCTTCCGTCTGCCATCTTACCAGCTCTGCACAGTACGTTTCATAAGTAGATACATAACAAAACAATGCTAGCTAAGTTTTTCGCCATCTGTGAGAAATTTGTTGACCCTTTTTATTGGTTGCGTGTTACATCGTTTTACCACATGCGGTTTAACGCTGACAAGTCAAACTGAGGATGCACGTTGTCTCAGGATGTTGAAAATAGTCTCTTACACGCTTATATATTCACGAGCAATTTTTCCAATTTCACGAAAGTTTTAAGTTAACTACTTTCTGGATGTGAAAAAGAAATTAAATGTTTTCTTATGAGCAAGGTAAGTCAGTTTTCTTCTTATCAGGTAAAAGACGACTCTGTCGATTGGAAAATGTGCCGGTTATACATATAATAGGTTAATAGCTCCGTGTGACTCTTTCGTTGCTGTTTTCGAATGTTTTTACATGATTGGCTGTGCAGAACGCAGAGGTTAAGAAAGAAGTTTAGGGGATCACGTTTCGTACGGAGAGAAATCCACTCGCTGATGTGAATGTGTTTATGTTGCATGAAAGGAAGTTTCGTGGGATAGGAAACAAGATTGCAGGCACCATGTACATGTTTTTTCAGGTCTTTCGCATTTTTTATTTATTTTTTGATAATTTTATTTCCATGTTTAAATTATAAAATAGTCTGAAAAAGAATATTATTCTAGAAAGTATAATTTGATGCATATATAGAGTATACAATTTTTTTCATTATATTTTAAATTTCATTAAAACTGTTCCAAGTATTATTAATAAACGAAACGAACCATATATTTTTTAATTCTAATGTTACTTATAAAATATTCCTAGAAAACGTGTAATTTTCTATCTTTCACGAAAAGATATTTTCCTATATTAAAAAATACGTGAGCATTTCAACATATAACTTACGTTCCATTTATATTCATCTGAATACATACACATATACATACATATATACCAAAGCATCTTCCTTCACGTAAAAAACAACTTAACAGAATATCCTACAATAATTAGAGTGTCGAAGTTATTAAAGAAATCACTATACATATATTTCTATCTGAAACTAGGTTAACCATCCACCTTCCTTAAACTCGAAACTTTACAAAATTTTTTGCGAAAAAAGGCAAAGTACTTCACATTACAAATTGTATTATTCAACTTAAATTCACTAAATTAAAAAAAAAGTATCCACTGTTTCATATGTACATACCGTGGTCCACGTGACTGGAGCTATTTCGCCAACTACATAAACAATATTTTATTCAATTTTTTCAATGAATCTAAAATTTTTTTATGCATTAAAAAAGTTCCAGATAATATTTTTTCATCAGAATCATTATATACAGATTTCTCGAAGCGGTCGCAATTACTTGGCCCACCCTGTATGATACCATCAATTTTAATCAACACCTCTCACACGAGAAACCGTTTTAATGAATAATAAAAGACAAAATCAAAACTTTCCTCTACTGGATGAAAATCCATATATTCCATGAATCAATAAAGTGAATCCCTCCATCTGCAGTATCACCTCGTCCATATTCGTCCTGTCTCTCCGTCGGGGACAATAAACACATCCACACGCGATGCAAAGCGTGCAAAAAGGGAAGTGTCGCGCGTTCGAGGCGTGACAAGTCGCGCGAAATCGATTACGTGACACGGATGCGACCAGTGTAAACGATTTTAATGAGCTCGACGCGTATTACTCGTGCAGAATCGCGCGTTCGAACGCGAAATGTTACCGAAAATTAACGAGTCAATTACTCGCTGCTTAAATCAAGAGATGGCGTGAGCGGCGGGTTGGGGAGAATGGTGGGGTGAAGGTGAGCATCTTGCCTTTGAATGGACGACGATTTCACAGTGCTCACAACTCGTGAAATTGTCGGATAATTTAATTAATCGGCGAATTAGAACGCTCGGACAATCTGTTACTGATGGTAAGGCTCGAGGGCCCTTTTTCTGCTTTGAATCTCTTTTAATTGGACGGAGGAAAGGAGTTTTTTTGTGTACAGCGTAATGAGTGATTGAAGGTTGTAATTGGTAAGAGGTTATGATTCAGGTAAGATAGACTTTTCGGGGCATTTGAGGTAAAGTCGTGGAGTTTGGAGGGGGAATTGTCGAGTGTAAAGATATATAGTGTATTAGAAATCTTAGTTAAGTAAATAGGGAATAATAGAAGATGATGAAAGGAATATTTTTCGTTTGATAAACATATGTATGTGAGATTTGGTTGTATTTTTAGTAACGGAGCTTCAAATGTGTAGATCTTAGGCTCCTGATATAGAGCAACATGGCAAACACTGATTGCTCTAGTGAGGTTACAGTAATGTTTTGAGTGACGGATATCTATTATATTTTTTTTCTAAAAATTATGAAAATATTTATCATATATTTTTCACATTTTTTTTTGCTGTGACATTAGAAGTGTATTATTACATTAGTGGTTGCTGCTCAAGCAATCTGGTCAATAATTTATAAGGTGACGAAAGGCTGTATCACGACCCTAAGCGCGCAAGCATCGTTCTAGGAATTGCACGCTGTTATCTGTTTCCGGTTCGCTCAGCTTGAAATATGTACCTTGAGTCGAAAGTGAGAAACAGTGTAAGCGAGTAAAGTACAATGAATTATAATCCACTATAGCGTTATGTACTTGGTTTCATACCACTAGTCTTAGGAAGTTTGTTGAAATTTTAGACTCTAAAATGATACAGGGTGTTTCAGAGTCAAATAGTTAAGTTCTACAATTTTTTAACTTAATCATAAATTTGAAAATACGTTATTAGAAAATTCTAATAAAAATTCCATATGTAATAGTAATAGCTTGTCGGTGATACTTAACAATGTAAAAATATGGTGTTTATCTTAACTCTTTATTTTTCCCTCCTATCTTTAGACGAACATTTTTTGTCTTCTATTTGCCAGTAACATGCCAGTAGAGCGTTCAAAATCGTAAACAATATGACAGCTTGTTATACATTATTAACATAATTACTACATAATGTTAAATTTAAACTGGAAACTCATCACGTTAATGTCTTTCTGTTGTCTTCGATTCTAATGGCAGTGGACCAATCACGTGCTTGCGCTCAAAATCCTTCGATTCGCTTCGTCAATTATCGGTTGTACCCGTCATTCACTGATCGGTGCTTCGCGATCTCTTCCGAACTTCGGCCTCACTCGGCAATCTTCGTGAGGGTAACCGTCGTAGCGGTGTTTGCACGTGCAACGTGACATTAGTACGTTATAAAAGATCAGTTATCAGTCATACGTTAGAAGTTCACTGCAATTATTTCATTATTTTTCTCTAATTGAATGTTCCAAAATACCAAAATCTTTTTACTCGATTTTAATGTTGTGCCAGGAGTTATTCTACGTTAACCCTTCAACCACCGTACTTCCTTTCTCCCCACGCTTTTACATCCTCTGTAGACTCTGTTGAGAACGGGTTCAAAGGTGGAAGTTCGTAATTAGGGAGCCACGATCTCAGGCTAATGGCTATTTCTCGTGGAGAAAAGGTTAGGTCGTGCGATGCAAGATTTATAATACTCGTTTCGCGAGTTATCTCGACGGCTGTTGCGCGCGACGAAAGAACGAAAGAACGAACAAACGGAATAATGAATATTAGTAGCGTAACGACTGCTCGATCTAGGCCATCGTCTATTTCCTCCCTCCTTTCAGGCCTCTTTTTTTTTTCACGCGAAACGCTTTTCATTAGCCGCGGAGGAGCAAAGTTCGTTCCTGGAATCAATTACGCGGCTCGCAGGAAATTGCATTATCGCCTGGAACGTCTTCGAATTACGTCCACAGCTCGATTATCCTCGACTTCTTCCGGTTCTGATCGCGCCTGTGTAATCGACCGATATAAACGATTCTTTTACATACATACATACGCAGTTTCTGTATGTCTGTAAGGATTTGCTTGCTGAGGTGTGAATAGGCAAAGAGAGATTTATTTAAAGAATTTAAGAGGATAATGTAATGTAGACATAGAGTAAAATAGTATTTTTGAAATTTTTATAATATAAAAAGGGATTCAGTGTACCAATTTAAAAGTTTGCACCTTTATTTAGGTTAGGTTAGGTTAGGAAATTGCTTATAACCATTTCTAAAAATATTGAAAAAAAAAATAGTTTAGCATATTTTATGGAATTTCATTCTTCTTTTGTAATCAAGAACACAATATAAAAGTACATATTTAAATAAAAAACGAAATTAAAATAGAATGTCACATGAATAATTATACGTAAATTTCCTGGAAGACATTTGATTAGATTCTTTAAACCATTTGAAAGATTACAATCTGTTTTATTACTTTTTTTTTTTTCTTCAATTAAAATAGCTCATGAAAATATTCGAGAATTGGAGCTGACAAGCTTTTCTAGAAATCGATATACACACGTAATATAGCTATCAAACTTTCCATCTAAAGTGTCGCACTCACGCGTGGATTTTGCATTTCAATTTTCCTGCTCGTATTTCACGCGAGTAAATCGAATCTTCCGACTCCCATGGAGGGGGGACGTGTTTCCTGGCGGAACTTATTGCCTTGTAAAGAGAGACACGACAAATAAGCGAATTAACGTAATCTGTACGAGCAGCATGATTATTATTCCCCACTCGTTATTTTGTGTATATTATTTTGAAAT